CTCTGCAAATTGTCCCACATTCTCAAGTGTGTGTGTGTTCAGAAACATTGAACAGTCTAGTCATAAATAGCCTAACATGCATTAATTCCTTGATGAGGATAGCATTCACCATTAGTCACACAATTCCGAAAGCAAAGCCAACAAATATACATGACAGAGTAAGTCATTGAATTGAACCCATCGCAAGCTATTTTCAGAGACATTCTCCTCTCACTATAAACCATCCAGCCACAAGCGTTGAGCTGACAGGTGACTGACAACTTGGAGGGAATCCGTCCTGCTATAGAGTTTATCACAATTTGCTGAGACATGTGAGACACACAATTTGCGTTGGCAGTGCTGTGACTCATTGAGGTTGATGTCGACATCACTTTGCTGAATTAAAAACGAAATGTCAAACTATACAGCATAGCTGCAGGGTCTCTACCAACGACGCCATTCAGGTTTGTCAGAGTACTTAGGTTTCTCTTTTGTCTTCAATTCCAGGGAGCTGAACTTTCCAATAAAAGACTCTATTTTCTGTCACTCTTTTTTTCTCAAGCCCAGACGGGTGTCACAGATTCCGACAAGGCTGACGAGACAAGTGTCAACACAGGTGACAAAAGTCTCCCTTGTCACATTTTCTTGTCATTCAAAATATCACTTTCGTTACTTTTCTATGTGAGACGTCGCCACTCTGACACTTTATGAAATGCTTTGTAAAAACTTCGACAAAGGTGTTGAGGTTGGTTTCTTTTTATTCGGACTACAGCCACGCTGTGGCAAGTATATTGTTTACAATGTTCACCATCTTAGTTTAGCATGTGAGCATGCTAGCATTTGATCATGAGCATTAAACGCAAGGGACAACTGAGACTGAAGGGAAGGCCATTTGTTTTGCAGGTAATTGGTCATAAACCAAAGTATTGGATACATTGATGTTTTGACCAGATGATGGCGCCAAATGGGAGGTTAGGAGGTCAGATTTATTACATACCATGGGGATCATGGTTATCTGCACCACATCAAACCAATAGTTAAAATAGGCCACAAATGTGCACCATTGTGTCGCAGAAATCCCTTTTCTTTCCTTTGCAGTCATGTAAATCATCTCTTAATCCCTCACAATTGTCCCACGACTCTTGCGTAACAACATTTCTTATGTGCTAGGGGGTCCTGACCCCCAGTTGGGAACCAAAGTCCATTGGTTTTTACTGCTGAAGCCCTGAATATAAATGTGACACACTTTTCTGTCCGTTATATCAGCTGTACCAGTTTAATTTAAAGAACAGATTACTTCTAAACTCAAAGCATACGTTCTGCCAAATGCAATTATCATATCCCTTATCTGGTAAATACATTGTTTTATTATGTTTTGGGCGTTTTTGCCTTCACGGGATAGACAGATATTAGACAGGAAAGGGTGAGATTGGGGATGACTCCAGCAAAGGGCAGTATAGGTTGGATTTGAACCAGAGCCGCTGCGGTAAGGCCTGGGGTAGTAGTTATTAAAGTACTCCAAATGTTTTTAAATCTAAATCTATTTTTTCAATAGTCTTAGGTTGTGTATTTACAATGCACTTAACTTACTGATTGTGTAAATGACTACAATCTGAATTAAGTGTGAATGAAAAGTAGAACCCACACAACTTATTTCAAACACGCAAGCATCCTTCTTTTGTGGCGGTGCTACTTCCCCAACACAAGCAGCGCTACAACGGATTGGTTTTTTCCTGACCATGACAGGTGGGCGGTGAGTGGGAGGTTCACTCGAATGAGGCAACATGAACAGCGAATTTATGGTATTTTGGTGGGAAATGATCTCGAAAAAGAGAATAGACGTCTCAGAAGGACATCTGTGTCTGGTGCAAAGTCACGCTGTGGCAAACAGACAAAGTAGTGAAATAAACACCTAAATGTGTATTATGGATGTTTTCTCTCCACTAGTCTGAAACAAGACATGATATGGAAGCAAAATCTCAAAATTGACCAGTGCATGAAAAATATGTTTCGCCTGCAATGTCTCCCATTAATACCTTAATATCTCTTTGATAACTGTATTAATATCTTTTCCATTGATTGCAAACGAAGAAGCGCACCAAGAGTTTCATTGTACAGTAAAACATTTTAAATCCTTGTATGTAACACATTAGTAGCATTAGATATACATAGTGTGCTGCAGTGGGAACGGTTGCTGGACAAGAAAATGGCCCTAATAGAATCTTCTGTAGTTGCCCCGGGTGCTGATGGTATATCATATTGCATCATGTGTGAGCCATATCGGCCTCCATTATAGCAGATAAACTTTGGATGCCTCCCACTTCACACTGCCACGGACGAGTTTCACAGAACACTTATTATGTTGTCAGTGGTATCCTTTTAGAGGCGAGCGCGGGGCCGGGTTGACTCGTCCCATCTATGTCCAAATCAGCTTGCTGTACTTGCTGCCGCGGACAGGCCCGTTTGAGTGGATACTTATTATGCTGTCAGTGTTTTCTTTGGAGAGCGGCTCCACTGGGTTGAGTTGTTCTGCACTGCTTTTCGGATTAGCCCCCGCTCTTAAAGATAGGGTGCCAGTGTTTACTTCATTTGTGGCAGCGTTAGGTGTCCTTTCAAGCCCGGCATTAACATAGCCCACTGTTATTGTGGTATTGCATCAGCGCTGTGGATCACTGTTAGCACATACACTGCTGGGTGTCAGTGGTTTAAGGACACGGTTACCGCATAACTGCAATTCATCTCCTTTCTTTGTCACTCTGTGGCTATTAGTCCCCATCTTCTCTCCCTTTTGCTTTCACTCTCTTGTCTTTACAGCTTTTACGAGGAAGATGGCTTCACAGGTTCTGCTTTGATCTGGGGGAAAAAAGAAGAAGCATTTACTATCTCCTGTCCAGTCCCCCATAATCATCTCCAGAAAGTGTGTATATGAGAGAGTGTTTCAAACGGATGAAGAGAAGAAATTCACAACTCGGTTTTTCTATTTCATCCACCTAATTAAAATTGTTTTCCCGGAGAGCATTGTTTGTTTATTTCACTGATATTGTGTCATTTTTGTTTTCAAGGCAACGCCTGTCAGTGATGTCTACGCTACTTGTTTAAGCTGCACGATATGCGTTGCCCCTACGCAGGCAGCAGTTTATAAAAAGTTGGGGGAAGACGTGACTCGAGGATTAAAGGCATTCCTCAGTGGCGGTACGGTGCCAAAATAATTTTGTTCTAAAACCCACTGTTTTAAAGTTATACCTCCTCTTAAAACATGATTGAGGAAACAAATAATGGTATTTATTTAAATTATAATGTATTGGTATTAGATGGAATCTTCAAGTCTGGTTTTGATATACTGTGTACAACTCTATATTGGTGCCAAGACCCATGATTGTGCTCACAATATAGGCAAAGATTTCTGTTCAGCTTCCAACTCAAACTGTTGAATATTCAATGTAAAAATAAGGAAACAGCAATGTGTGTTTACTTTTCCTTCAGCATCACATAATGAGCTCGAGCCAGCTATTGTGCAATGTGACTGTTGGGAAGGCCTGCCCACATCAAAGACCTTCTCCAGTTTGGTGGAGGAAGCTCACACTTAAGTTTATCTTCTTCGTAAGAATTTAAAAAAGAAAAGTTTTTGGGTTTGTGGGATTTACAGTGTGCTGAAAACCTGACACAAATAATGGCAATCAAAAGCACCAGCACCAGATAAGGCTTTAGTGAAACAAGACAGTTCGAGCCGTTTATGAGAAGCTGGTGGCTATAAATCTTGCATTTCCGTGTGCCGTCACCATTCTTGTATGAAATCTATTATAAAATCAGGTTTTAGAGGAGAGCTGTTTTCCAGTAAGCCTATTGTTATGACCTGAAACAACAGTGATGCAAAGCATGTTGTGCTTCACATGAAAAGTTAAAAAAGTTCTTCTCTCAACTGGAAAATCTACTGTTGGTCTGCGTCTCCCCACGTAAGTATCAAACCAACTGCTGAATGCGACAAGTTGACACATGCATGTTGTGGAAAGTCATTCTCGAAAAAGGCTGCCTGGAAATCACCAAGTGAAATAGAAGAAGGTGAGGCAGACTGAGGCTACACAAGGAGGAAAATGACAATATTCACTCACAAGGAGTGCACTGAGCGTTGCAGATTTGTGATGAGAAAGCTCTGTGAGGATGGTTTGTATTATAACTTGTGTTGGGTGTGTCAAGCTGAGAGTCTGCCTTGGTCTTTGTGCTTGCATAGTAGGTTTAAGGAGCTATGATTTTATGGAATTTATTTAACCCTACATTTACCCTATATATTCAATTAAAGGCACTGAAAACATATTGTCTCAATCAGCTTTTGAAGTAGTGTTGGTTTACCAATGTTGCAACAGTTTTGGTTGTTCAAAGGTGCTAAATTGGAAATTCAGAGCACATCTATCGCCTCCATACGGCTCTCAGCATGGCGACGGCTGAGCCGGGGTCTCGCAGCTAATGGTGCAAACAGCGCTAACAGTGCCAACGACGGAAAACAAGGTCGACAGTGCTGACAGAGCTGTAGTGTATAGGGGGAACCGTAAGGGCTTCCGCAACAACGCCATCAGTCGGGACAACTTCATCAGTTGTAACTGTTAAAGATTTAATAAATAATAGCTCAGGGTGTATTTTTCTAAACTTTGATTGTTACTTGAGGAAATTGTAACATAAAGAAGATGACAAAAAAATGCAAAATAAAGTCATCAGTGATAATAACGGGTGATAAAATGACGAGTACTGCAGTCCCACAAAACAAGAAAAAAATAATGATGGTGGTAAAGCAACATCACATAAACCACAAACACAGACAATGATTTCTAAGAGGCTCAGTGTGACTTCATGCTGATTAGGAGGAAGGAGACAGTAGTGACACACACCTGTGTGTCCCATTGTCTGCCTCAACAACATGCAATGCACAAAGACAGACTTCATTCATGTCTCTCCTCACACACACTGTCATCATTTTCCTCTTAGCTGTCGGTCATCCCGTCCTGCGGACCCCGCCTCCTACGGAAACACAGGATGTTGTCCGACACGTGATTAATTCAGTATGGCGGAGCTGTTGACCGAATGAGTTTTTACGTTACCGACGGGTCCTAAAACCCTGAACCGTGGATGCTCCTGGAGACCAGCCATTTGCGCCAAAGGGTGCTCTCAACTCAGGTAGCGTTTCTTTTCTGTCTTTAAAAAAAACACACACACAAGTACACAGTCGTCTCTTTGGCTCGAACGTGTAGAGAGAACCATGGCTCATAAAGTATGTTTATGTTGTAGGCTAACGTCAGTGGGTCTCTGCGCTTTTCCTCCTCGGAGTCAAGCGGTGTTGCAGTTATTCTGCTACACATGACTTGTTTTTTCCCCGTTTGTATCGTATCAACAGAAGGAAAAGTGAAAGTGTTGCGCAACACATGGTTTAGAATCACCAGTTTGGAGTGGATTTAAAAAAACTGTCGACTATACGTGTTGTGCAACGTTGTTACTATAGCTGCTCGATATAAGTGGGACTTTAATGCCACTGTGAAGCTAGCGACATTGTTTGAAACTGTCTAAAAACAGGCTGTCATGTCGGAAAAGTGACTTTTATGGACAGCGGACGACTAATACTTGCACATTTTCAAACTTATGTTCCTTCATGTGAGTTGTGCTGCAGCACAGCGCCGTGTACGTTTTTTTTCCCCATCGCGTGCGTTCCCTCCCAAGTGTGAGGTTAATGTAAACAGTTAACAGATGTAGCGGAGAATTTGGTCACCTTGTAACAATTGTTTCTCAGCACGGTGACCGACGTCACGCGTTAACAGGGAACATTCTAGTGCAGTAAGACGTTTGTCTCCTCTTGACGATAGCTCTGCTCAAGACTATCCTCTGCACACATTTCTATAAATACCACAGGCTGTGTGTGTGTGTGTGTGTGTGTGATGGAGGTTTCTGCTGAGGTTGAACTGCCGCTGCCACAGCTTTGGGTGTAAACTTGTGTCTTCGTGAAGTGTAAACACAAGAGAGCAGCACTACAACGCTGACGTTAGTTTCCAGCTTGTAGTGTCCGATGTGTCGGCACTTTAGCGGAAAGTTAATATATATTGAGCGACCAATTTCTATATTTTTTTACATATTAATTATTGTCGTGAAAGCTTTGTAGGCATCATAGTTCAAGCCTTAAAGCTGTTTAAAGCCTACTTTAAGATTTTCTTAATTTTTAAAAATGTTATTAATGAAAGCTAAAATAAAGATTATTTCAAAGCAGTCTGTCCATCCAGGAAGCGATGGATAGAACCCCCATCCATTTACACTTGTCAAACCTGGACTAGTTAACAAGTAGGTTTCTGTAACTGTTTAAAAAAAGAAAGCTTTATTTTATCCTATTAGATTTGACAAGTCTGAGTAAAGACTATTTTGTTCTAGTCCTTGTCTGACGCGGTCTAGACTTTTTTTTCACCAATGGAATAAAGATTTCACAAATCTGAAACTGTTTTAACAATTTCTGGAGTCTACTTGTTCATGAAGCCCAGGAGTGACAGGTGTATACCTATGTCTCAAGCTAAACCTGATATATTATTGTCTGGATGAAGAACACAAAGTGGAATCGAAATCTTTTGCTTTAAAAAAACAAACAAAACAAATGTTTCACAAATCTGAAAGCGGGTTTTAAACAGTGTTCTGGCTTTCATTTGTTTTGCTGACACCCATTCGCGACAACAAGCATTTAAAAAAAACAACTGAGAATCGGTCGCTCGATATTATTCTCTAAACTTTCCCCTTAGCATTTACAAACCGGAAGCTAACTCCGGCGCCCTGACAGCTGGGGGCTGTGCCTCTGAACCGGTAAGACTCCCTTTATGCCTCCACTAGTGGAAACTATTCCCTCAGCGTTACGAGCTCTGGAGGGCCGCTGTTTGGCGTTCGTAAACTCCAGGGCCCCACAGGAACACGGTCGCTGCAGCCTTCTGAAAAACATCTTGGCTCAGCGTGCTCCTCTTTAAAGGATGACTCTGCTGAGAGCGCAGTCCTGATTGGAGCAGAAGTAAAACAGGATCTTCTTTGTTGCCGGATATTCCTCGTTTCATGTCAGCTGAGCATTTCTTTTGCACAAACGATGGTCCATAAGTGGCTGAAGACGTCTATGCTTTAGCCCTTTTTTAAATTGCTGATGATATACCAAGTCAGTGAGTGAGAAGGAGTGGCTATTCATACAAGTAGAAATGTATTCCGACAAATAAGCGCTATACTGAAGGGACTACCACTTGTCCCTGCACAGTATTAAAATTGTTGCATTGTAAGTACTAAGGGGTGAAAGTATTATACAGTTAAATTCTACAGTGATGTGAAAGATTCAGGATAAATCAGTCATTTTAAGAGCTCAAAAGAGCTCTGATTATTATGTGACTGAAATGTTTCTTTTTACGCTAAAATAATCCCAGTAATCATCCATAATAATATTTTACATGAATCACCAGTTAGTGGCACAAAGCAGTGGGGGGCTTAGTGGCAATCGGAGTCCTCCTACACAAAGAGGAAGCGCTCACAGCTCTGTGTGTGATGTTCATTCCAGGAGTTATTTTGTTATTAATATGTTGTAAATCACCTTTCTGTTGTCTGGCTGGTGATCGTGCTGTGTGTAGAATGTGCAACATGTCTCATGGATGCACTGCATTGTGGTCTTTATATATATATATATATAAAGAC